CGTCTGCAGCGGGGCCTCTGTCAAAGGAAACTGGGAGGAGTGAGGGGCAGTCCACTGCTGCCCCTTGACACAGGGGACGCAGGTAGGGCCAGGCCTCAAAGGAAGGGGAGGGAGGGACCAGGGAAGACCAGAGACAAGGACACGGGAGGCCATGCCTCGGAGACGAAGCAGGGAGGGGTGACCAAGGCGGTGCTGCCACAAGAGAGTCTCGTGAGACAGGAGGCGACACGAGCAGGGGGTAGACTCAGGACCAGACTTGGACGCTGCAGCAAACACCTGACGCGACGCAACTACCTGACTAGACGCAGTGACAGGAGGAGACTCAGTCGTCAGTGTGAACAGGCTCAACCCCGGCCGACGTGTAAACGTGGCCAGCTGTCGGCCTGTCCCAGCGTCCGTGTAGTGGGTCACCCGCTGACTCGCAGGTTTGAACTGGTGAACCCCTGCAACCTGTAGGTCAGCACCACTCACCAAGTTTGTAGAGAATGAGGGGAGGTAAAGACCAGACAGGGTGCTAGAGGGGGCCGCCGGACACGGGAGGACAGTGGAGAAGTGAGCAAAGACTGGACCCTCAGAGGGGTCTGTCAGAAAGACTGCAACTGGCCGACCAAGCGGCGTGAGTGTGGTGCGATCTCGAAAGAAGGAGCGAGAAGCCCGCGAGTCAAGGGTGAAGGTGAGGGAGGCCGAAGCCGACGCGGTACCTGAGAGCGCAGACTCACCAGGACCTGAGGGTGCAGATGCAGTGGCACCTAGAGCAGCAGCCTCGCTAGCACCTAGAGCAGCAGCCTCACCAGTACCTAGAGCAGCAGTCTCAATGCCCGGGTCGTGCGGAAAACACCGGTAACAGTCACCCTCATCACTAATAGTCACAGCATACATGGCAGCAAGAATAGCATCAAAGTCAAGGTCAAAGATAGCTACTCCCGCCCTAGACAGCTCACCCCAGCGGGGGATCTCAGTGGCCTCCGAGAACTGGTGACGCCAAGCGTCCGTCAGGCGGCCAAAGCATCGCTGGGTGGAGTGCGCAGCCCACACTGCTCACCCGCGCGATCGCCGGTGCGGAGGACGTAGGTGCACGGACCAGTACCGCCACCTCGCTGACGTGCAGCGTACCAGTCAGGAGCTGCTGAGGGGGGGGATGTTACGAGTGCGCTGCTGCTGCTGCTGCTAGCGCGGACTACCCTTAGAGCCGACCCTCTGCGTAGCGCCACCCCGACCAGCTCCACCTCCTCCGCCACCGCCTCCTCCACCGCCGCCACCTCCGCCACCTCCGCTCCCACCGCCACCGCCGCCGCCGCCTATGCCTCCACTGCCGCCCCTGACACCTCCACCCCCGCCACCACCCCCACCGCCTTCCCCACTCCCTCCCCCGCCTCCACCGCTGCCTCAACCGCCCCCGCTAGCTCCTCCAGCGCCCCTGCCCCCCTTGCCCTTGCCAGGGCAGCGTCTCTCGCTAGGGGTAGACGCCGCACTGACGGACTCAAGCCCAGCGAGGTCGGCCACAGCAGCAGATGCAACAGAGGGCAAAAGGGGGGAAGGGGAACACCCCTCAAAGATGGGGGTGCGAGGGTCACTACGGGAGACTCCTACAGCAACTATGCTCTTCTCTTGTGCTAGGAGGGCCTTCTCGAGGAGGTCAACGGTGAGAGTGGTGGGGCAAACTGAGAGGAAGTGGTCCCGGACTATGCGAAGAGAGTCAGGGAGCCGGGTGACTATGTAGTAGAGGGTGATACACTTGGGGGGGTGGGGGTTCTTGGCGCAAAACTCAGCCGGAAGCGCAGCGCGGTAGAGAGTGTCACTAGTGCGGAGGTGCGTAATGAGGTCAGCGAATATGGGAAAGGCAGCAAGGTCAGGGAAGAGGTATGGTAGCATGAGGCGGCTCAATGCAGCAGTGGCAGGGGAGGAGTAGCGTGCAACAACAGCGTCGTACAAGGTCTGAGCACTCTTGTACTGGCTAAAGTGTGCACGCTCAGTGGTCGGTAAGTGGCGGCGCACAGCAAGGCGAGCAGCAGCATCGCGCGTGGCCCACTGTGAGCAAACAGTGGCGTCAGCATTAGCAGCAGGGGCACGAGAGGCACCAGAGGTGAGGTCAAAGAGGGATGTGTTCGCCCTATCGCACTGTAGGAAAAGCTGCAGGTCATCTACCCAGACATCAAAGTCAATGGCCCAACCCTCAGCGTCAAAAGCGAGGACACTAGGGGTAGCCATGAGAGCAGTAGAGTAGTAGCGTGAAGAGTGGGGTAAGGGCAGTGCAGTGGTAGAGGCGCTGCTCTTACCGGACAGGGCGGCTCGGGTGGCTCGGCGAGAACTGCAGCTCGGCGGCTCGGCGACTCGACGGCTCGGGCGGCACTGCGGCAATTGCGGCTCGGCGAGTCAGCGGCTCGGGCGGCTCGGGCGGCTTGGCGGTACGGCGGCTCGGCGGCAACTGCAGCTCGGCGTGCGGCGCCCCAGTGGCTCGGGCGGCTCAGGTGGCGCGGCGGCTCGGGTGGCGCTGGCGGTCCGGTGGTGACGGCGGGGCTGCGTGAAGGCGGGGCCGGGGCCGGGAAGGGCGGGCAACTGGGCCAGCAGCTGTTGGGCCGGGGCTAGGAAGGGCAGTGCCGGGGCCGAGAAGGGCGGCTCGGGGCCGCAGGGGTAGGCGACGGGGCCAGCAGAGGCGGGGCCGGGTCGGGAAGGGCGGTGTCGGGGCCGGGAAAGGGCGGGGCCGGGGCCGCGGGGTAGGTGACGGGGCCGCAGGGCGGCAGATCGGGGCCGGGAAGGGCGGCGCCGGGGCCGCAGGGCTAGGCGACGGGGCCAGCAGAGGCTGGGCCAGGTCAGGAAGGGCGGCGTCGAGGCTGGGAAAGGGCGGCGCCGGGGCCACGGGGTAGGCGACGGGGCCGCAGGGCGGCTGATCGAGGCTGGGAAGGGCGGCGCCGGGGCCGGGAAGGGCGGCGCCGGGGCCGGGAAGGGCAGGGCCGGGGCCGCAGGAGTAGGCGACGGAGCCGCTAGGGCAGCGGATCGGGGCCGCGAAGGCGGCGCGACGCAGCCGCTAGGGCGGCGCGACGGGATGGGGCCGCGAGGGCGATGGGACGGGGCCGCTAGCGCAACGCGACGGGGCCGCTAAGGCGGCGCGACAGGGTCGAGAGAGGGGAGCGCGACTCGGGCAGGGGCTGAGCGCGCTCCGGGCAGAAAAAAAAATCGGATCGGTGGGCCCTAGGAACAGTTCCCACGAGGGAACCTGCTCGATACCATGAGAAAACTAGAACGAGGAATGAATGACTAAGTGAAAGTTGGGTACAAATACAAACTCCTAGAAAGATGTACCCCATATGTGCTACCCCACTATAGCCTACAATAGCTATGTCATATAAATCTGACAGTTAGAAGGTGGTCCAGTTGCGTTGTTTGGAGCCACGTTGCAATTGCCTGAGTGAGTTCTCCAAAACCGTACTTACACAAAAAAAACAAAAGGCATCAGCAACGGTCAAGGAGTGACACCTCAGTACACAGTGCTTACTACAACCGAATTTACTTACGTGTTGTAGTATGTGCCGTACCCCTGCTCTGGAAACCCGGGCACCTTCTTCTTCGCCAGGTAGGGGCACCAGCCAGATCCACGAGTCCATGGGCCCGTTGCACTTCCCCATGAAGTACAGTGAGTCCACGAGCGACGAAACCTGCAACAGCTCCTTGTCCTGTGCCTTCGGGTGCATGTCGATGCGCTGTTGTCGCCGGTAGTTCTGCAGCAGATCCTTCTGCCGTTTCAGAGCAAATTGGTGCTTCACAGTCCCTTCATGCTTCTTGAAGGACTGTGTCTGCACGTCGGTCGCGCCCTCGTCACGCCGTCCACACTTGCCAGTCAAGCCCGCAAACTCCAAGCAAATACTGCACTTGAAAGAAGGGGCACCAGAAGATGTTTTAGTAAGAATCAGCCATGAATAATCAGTAGACCACCTAGTCTTGAAACGCTCATGAGCTTCTTCGTATTTCAGCTCAAGGCTGTCATAGGCTTCGAGCTGTCCTGCATGGGAGACTCATCGCTCGCTGGAGTTTCAACGGTCGATGGAGGAGGTGGAGTTGCCCACGGAAACATGGTCTGGCGGTACCGCAGCTTCGTCGGTGGCGCGGGACGGGAAGGTGCTTCGACAGACGCCTCATGGGGCACCGTCTGTTGCGCAGCGGTGACTGGTTCAGTGACGGCCTCGTGCAGAGGTGCAGAGACCCTGGGAATCGAAGGGCTCCTCGAGGTGGGTTGCGACGGTGGCGCAGGAGATGGCCCATGCTTCGGGTGGATGGATGTGGTCATACGAGAGTGGCAGCGCGCTGCGAGCTATGCGTTGGCAGTGAGAAAGGTGGGGTGTGGTGGATGGTTGTGGTGTCGAGCAGGGGGGGGGGGGGGGGGGGGGGGGGGGGGGGCTGCCAGTTATGCGTTGGCAAGGAATCTTGCCAACACTTCATGATGCGCAGCCGCGATTGGTTGGAATTGGTACTGATTACAGCAATTCTCTACCAACGCGACTGTGCGGTGCTGCGCTCGGTGAACTTTGGCCCGTGATTGACGGCGTTAGTGCTACACGCCGCCAGGTTGGCGGAAACCCCTGTTTGACCGGTTTCGGAGTGCACCCCCGATACAAGTCTGAGGGTACATTCCTGAAGCGCGTCACAAAGGCCTCGCGTCTCAAACGAAGAGATGCAGTGTGGTGAAAATGTTCAACACTTAGGTGTAATGCGGTGCAGACTGGTACAGCGGTTTTATGACGCCATTGAGACATTTGTGTCAAGAGTGGAATGTACCCTGAGGCTCAGACTACACTTCTAAAATTAGCCTGAAATTACAGACAGCTCATACAAAAAAACTCTGAAAGATCAGACAGGGTACATAATCTTGGAGTGCAGACTAGGTACAAAAAAAAAAGTCTGAACGGACTCCGAATCAGACTAAAAAGTTGGATATCTAGGGCCCTGCCCTCGACCCTAAGGTCTTATGTCCGGGTGATTAGGGTATGTGCGTCTATCAAGAATTGTTACGACAAAGAGGCACTTATCATTCTGTTTGCTCTGCATACACTAGGCCCGTGCTCCAAGTAAGCAGCTCGTGTGGTGCACACCTGGTGCGGGATGCACAGAGAGGGGGAAGGGCAAAAAGGAAAACAAGACACAATGCGTTGAAACGAACCGATGAGTACGGGAGCCAAGCGGGCACTGATCATCCTGTTTTCTCGGCACGTGCTTGGTCCATGCTCCAAACAAGCAGCCCGTGTGGTGCACACCTGGTGCACGATGCACAGAGAGAGGTGCCAAATAGAGGACACGTCACTCACGGCTTAAAGAAACGGCTGACAACAGGTGGAACTTAACAGGAACCAATGCAGAGACAATTTGTGCTGCTGTCGGTCAACCTCTGTCATTGTGAAGAGGTTGAGTCAATCGAAAGAACAGCATATACGGTAAAGAATCATATGAAACAGGGTATTGCTGCTCACTCCTTGGAAAACAGGTGACGGCGACAACTAAACTCACTGGACTATTATACACAGGGCTTACCCCTTGGAAACCCGGGGAGGAGGCGACAACAGAGCCCCCGAACCACACGGCATGCTCCTGCAGATGATGGGACACCACTGCCACCTCTATGTCCGATGCCTTGGGCTGTACGGTATGGGGGGGAAGTGACGGGGCATGAGGTGAAGTGAGCTGCTGAACGAACCGCACAGCGTGCGCATGCAGATTCAGATGCGTTGGGCTGGTTGGTGGAGGGAAGGTGGGGGGCAGGGAAGGGAAGGGAAGGAGCAATGGTTGGTGCAATTGGTGCTCGTGCAGATGGTGGGACACCACCGTGACCTCTGTGACCACACGCCATTATACACCCCCGCAATAAGCATGTCTCACGAGAAGCACACCTCATTAGAAGCAGATCCAGCCAACCTGGCCTTTCCTCACGCCTTGCTTACAACGTGATGACACCACCTCACTAAAAGCACACCTCACTAGAAGCACGTTTCCTTATTAATACACCTCATTACGTGATAGCACATTTCCTTTTAATCACACCTCAATAGAAGCAGATCCAGGCATCCAGGCCTTAACAGCTCCCTTCACGTCTCGCTTAAAACATGATAGCAGCACCTCACTATACCCACACCCCATTAAAAGCACAATAAAGTAAAAGCACATCTCACTACAAGCGCACCTCGCTAGACCCAGCCATGCGGGCCTCGCTACATCTTCACATCTCTCGCTAACAACATGATGGCAACACCTCACTGAATGCACACCCCACAAGAAGCACATCCCACTAGAAGCACATCCCACTAGAAGCACACCTCATTGCTACAAGCGCACCTCGCTGGACCCGGCCATGCGGGCCTCGATAGCTTTCTTCACGTCTCTCTGCAAGCGCCGCCCAAAGTCCTTGAAGAGGGTGGAGCCGCCTGAGAGCACAATGTTCTGCGGGATACATGTCATGGGGGCAAGGGATACATGTCATGGGGGCAAGGGATACATGTCATGGGGGCAAGGGATACATGTCATGGGGGCACGGGATACATGTCATGGGGGCACGGGATACATGTCATGGGGGCACGGGATACATGGGGGCAAGGGTATGACGCGCCATAATGATCAAAGGGAGAAGGCTGGGCCATAATGATGGGTCACAGTCCTTATGGTCAAAGTCCTTATGGTCAAAGTCCTTATGGTCAAAGTCCTTATGGTCAAAGTCCTTATGGTCAAAGTCCTTGCACATGGTGGAGGCGCCTGAACACACGACGCTCTCTGGGAGTGGGAGAGGAAGGGAGAACGATGGGGATAGCCATAATGATCGATCCAAGTCCTTGCACATGGTGGAGCCGCCTGAACATGGTGGAGGTGCCTGAAAGCATGATGTTGTGCAGGAGGGTAAGGCACACGGACACGCAAGTAGCGATGAGCTGGCGAGCCACCGGGAAGGCAACTGACTGTCACGATTCCCCCTCTCAGCACGATGCCGCCTCGACTCCGGCCCAAGGAAGCACCCCTTGTCGCACAAACCATGGAAACACAACAGCCACCTTGTAGAGCGAGCGGCGTGTGTCGATGGCAGCGGCCTGCACAGGCGGGGGATGGAGGGGGCCCTGCCACGCCACTGAGTGCAGAGGAAGCACCCCTTGGATCACCCACCCACACAAGCGTCACCTTGTAGAGCGAGCGGCGTGTGTCGATGGCGGCAGTCTGCACCGCTGCATCCACCAGCTCTGCCAGCGACGTGCCCACGTTGCTCACTGCTATCTCTGGGGCGAAGAAGACCTGCCGGGGGGGGAGGAGGGAGGGAGGGAGGGAGCAGAAGGCGTAGTTGACATGGCAAGACACATAGAGGAACAGCATGGGGAGAAACGGTGCAGTGGAAGAGCAAAGAGGGGTGGAGAGGGGCAGTCATAAACAATTGTACTGCTGCTACATGCACCTGCTCTGCCAGTAGTCAGCTTGGGTGTCCCCTGATTTCAGGAGAGAAGAAGAGCATTGGAGCACTGGTGGCTGGCTGGCCATTGAAATAAAACCTCAAAGAACCAAACCCGAACCCCGAAGACGTCACCCCAAGCACATCCACGCACTCACATCGCAGCTTTAAGGCGTGCTGGTGCGCTCATTTGTGGGCGTCCATTGGGCGTCCTATCAACCACTCACCTCATTTGAGCAGAAAGGGACCTCTCACCTCGTCGCGGTGATAGGGCGTGTTGGTGGCCGTTCATTGAGACGACAATCGTTGGTGGGTGTTCATTGAGACAATCGTTGGTGGTTGTTCATTGAGACAATGGTTGGTGGGCGTTCATTGAGATACTCGTTGGTGGCCGTTCATTGAGACAATCACCGGTGGCCGTTCATTGAGACGACAATCGTTGGTGGCCGTTCATTGAGACAATCGTTGGTGGCCCTTCATTGAGGCAATTGTTGGTGGCCGTTCTTTGAGCGACAATCGTTGGTGGTCGCTCATTGAGACAATAGTTGGTTGCCGTTCATTGAGACAATCGTTGGTGGCCGTTCATTGAGACAGTCGCTGGTGGCCGTTCATTGAGACACTCGTTGGTGGCCGTTCATTGAGATGACAATCGTTGGTGGGCGTTCACTGAGACAATCCTTGGTGGTCGTTCATTGAGACAATCGTTGGTGGGCGTTCATTGAGACACTCGTTGGTGGCAGTTCATTGAGATAATCGCTGGTGGCCGTTCATTGAGACAATCGCTGGTGGCCGTTCATTGAGACGACAATCGTTGGTGGCCATTCATTGAGACACTCGTTGGTGGCCGTTCATTGAGACAATCGTTGGTGGTCATTCATTGAGACAATCGTTGGTGGTCGTTCATTGAGACACTCGTTGGTGGCGGTTCATTGAGACAATCGCTGGAGGCCGTTCATTGAGACGACAATCGTTGGTGGCCGTTCATTGAGACAATCGTTGGTGGCCGTTCATTGAGTCAATCGTTGGTGGTCGTTCATTGAGACAATAGTTGGTGGCCGTTCATTGAGACAATCGTTGGTGGCCGATCATTGAGACAGTCGCTGGTGGCCGTTCATTGAGACAATTGTTGGTGGCCGTTCATTTAGACGACAATCGTTGGTGGCCGTTCACTGAGACACTCGTTGGTGGTCGTTCATTGAGACAATCGTTGGTGGTCGTTCATTGAGACAATCCTTGGTGGTCGTTCATTGAGACAATCGTTGGTGGGCGTTCATTGAGACACTCGTTGGTGGCAGTTCATTGAGACAATCGCTGGTGGCCGTTCATTGAGACAATCGCTGGTGGCCGTTCATTGAGACGACAATCGTTGGTGGCCATTCATTGAGACACTCGTTGGTGGCCGTTCATTGAGACAATCGTTGGTGGTCATTCATTGAGACAATCGTTGGTGGTCGTTCATTGAGACACTCGTTGGTGGCGGTTCATTGAGACAATCGCTGGAGGCCGTTCATTGAGACGACAATCGTTGGTGGCCGTTCATTGAGACAATCGTTGGTGGCCGTTCATTGAGTCAATCGTTGGTGGTCGTTCATTGAGACGACAATCGTTGGTGGCCGTTCACTGAGACACTCGTTGGTGGTCGTTCATTGAGACAATCGTTGGTGGCCGTTCATTGAGACAATCGTTGGTGGGCGTTCATTGAGACACTCGTTGGTGGCGGTTCATTGAGACAATCGCTGGAGGCCGTTCATTGAGACGACAATCGTTGGTGGGCGTTCATTGAGACAATCGTTGGTGGCCGTTCATTGAGACAATCGTTGATGGCCGTTCATTGAGACGACAATCGTTGGTGGGCGTTCATTGAGACGACAATCGTTGGTGGTCGTTCATTGAGACAATAGTTGGTGGCCGTTCATTGAGACAATCGTTGATGGCCGATCATTGAGACAGTCGCTGGTGGCCGTTCATTGAGACAATTGTTGGTGGCCGTTCATTTAGACGACAATCGTTGGTGGCCGTTCACTGAGACACTCGTTGGTGGTCTTTCATTGAAACAATCGTTGGTGGCCGTTCATTGAGACACTCGTTGGTGGGCGTTCATTGAGACGATCGTTGGTGATCGTTCATTGAGACAATCGTTGGTGGCCGTTCATTGAGACACTCGTTGGTGGGCGTTCATTGAGACAATCGTTGGTGGCCGTTCATTGAGACAATCGTTGGTGGCCGTTCATTGAGTCAATCGTTGGTGGCCGTTCATTGAGACGACAATCGTTGGTGGGCGTTCACTGAGACAATCGTTGGTGGGCGTTCATTGAGACGATCGTTGGTGATCGTTCATTGAGACACTCGTTGGTGGTCGTTCATTGAGACAATCGTTGGTGGCCGTTCATTGAGACAATCGTTGGTGGGCGTTCATTGAGACGATCGTTGGTGATCGTTCATTGAGACAATCGTTGGTGGCCGTTCATTGAGTCAATCGCTGGTGGCCGTTCATTGAGACAATCGTTGGTGGGCGTTCATTGAGACGATCGTTGGTGATCGTTCATTGAGACAATCGTTGGTGGCCGTTCATTGAGTCAATCGCTGGTGGCCGTTCATTGAGACAATCGTTGGTGGCCGTTCATTGAGACGACAATCGTTGGTGGGCGTTCATTGAGACGATCGTTGGTGATCGTTCATTGAGACACTCGTTGGTGGTCGTTCATTGAGACAATCGTTGGTGGCCGTTCATTGAGACAATCGTTGGTGGGCGTTCATTGAGACACTCGTTGGTGATCGTTCATTGAGACAATCGTTGGTGGCCGTTCATTGAGACGATCGTTGGTGATCTTTCATTGAGACAATCGTTGGTGATCGTTCATTGAGACAATCGTTGGTGGCCGTTCATTGAGTCAATCGCTGGTGGCCGTTCATTGAGACAATCGTTGGTGTCCGTTCATTGAGACGACAATCGTTGGTGGGCGTTCATTGAGACGATCGTTGGTGATCATTCATTGAGACACTCGTTGGTGGTCGTTCATTGAGACAATCGTTGGTGGCCGTTCATTGAGACAATCGTTGGTGGGCGTTCATTGAGACGATCGTTGGTGATCGTTCATTGAGACAATCGTTGGTGGCCGTTCATTGAGACGACAATCGTTGGTGGGCGTTCACTGAGACAATCGTTGGTGGGCGTTCATTGAGACGATCGTTGGTGATCGTTCATTGAGACACTCGTTGGTGGTCGTTCATTGAGACAATCGTTGGTGGCCGTTCATTGAGACAATCGTTGGTGGGCGTTCATTGAGACGATCGTTGGTGATCGTTCATTGAGACAATCGTTGGTGGCCGTTCATTGAGTCAATCGCTGGTGGCCGTTCATTGAGACAATCGTTGGTGGCCGCTCATTGAGACGACAATCGTTGGTGGCCGTTCACTGAGACACTCGTTGGTGGCCGTTCATTGAGACAATCGTTGGTGGCCGTTCATTGAGACAATCGTTGGTGGCCGTTCATTGAGACAATCGTTGATGGCCATTCATTGAGGCAATCGTTGGTGGCCGTTCATTGAGACAATCGTTGGTGGCCGTTCATTGAGACAATCGTTGGTGGCCGTTCATTGAGACAATCGTTGGTGGCCGTTCATTGAGACAATCGCTGGTGGCCGTTCATTGAGACAAACGTTGATGGCCGTTCATTGAGACAATCGTTGGTGGTCGTTCATTGAGACAATCGTTGATGGCCGTTCATTGAGACAATCAACCCAAAACCCTCACTCACATCGCCCGCCAGGAACAGCTCGTGCCCCGCATTGCAGCGATAGGGTGTGTTGGTGGGAACCCCTAGAACCCCGAAACCCGAAACCCTTCAATACCCACGTGCATCCCCTCACTCACCTCAGCAGCCAGGAACGGCTCGTGCTCCACATGGCAGCAGTAAGGCCAACCATATCCCTAAGCCCTACACACTTGTGTATCCCCGCACACACCTCAGCAGCCAGAAACCGCTCATGCCCCACGTCGCAGCGGTAGGGCGTGTTGGTGCGCGCGTTGGTGGCGGTCCACACCTTGCGGTACTTATTGGGCTCCCTGTCGTGCTTCGTGAACTCCTGATGACAGGTAGGTGGAAGGGAGAGGGGGGCAGGGGGCGGGGGAGAGGGGGGTGTGGGGGGGGGGGGGGGGAGCGGGAGGTGGGGTGGGGGAAGGGAGGTTGGGGGGGGGGGGGGAAGGGAGGTGCAGGAGTACATGACATGACATGACATGACATGACATGACCGTTGGTGGCGGCCCAGACCTTGCGGTACTTATAAGGCTCCCTTGCATGCTTGGTGAACTCCTGGGGGCACAGAGAAAGGGAGAAAGAGGAGGAGGGGGATGAGGGGACAGGGCCACATGAGCTTGCATTGGTGGGCGGCCACACCTGGCTGGGCGGCCACACCTGGCTGTACCTGAACACATGTGTACCTCAACACATGTGTACCTGACACATGTGTACCTGAACACATGTGTACCTGAACACATGTGTACCTGACACATGTGTACCTGAACACATGTGTACCTCAACACATGTGTACCTGACACATGTGTACCTGACACATGTGTACCTCAACACATGTGTACCTCAACACATGTGTACCTCAACACATGTGTACCTGAACACATGTGTACCTCAACACGTGTGTACCTGAACACATGTGTACCTGAACACATGTGTACCTGACACATGTGTACCTGAACACATGTGTACCTGACACATGTGTACCTGAACACATGTGTACCTCAACACATGTGTACCTGAACACATGTGTACCTCGACACGTGTGTACCTGAACACATGTGTACCTGAACACATGTGTACCTCAACTAGGGATGAGCAAAGGGCGAACACGAACATGTTCGTCTTCGCCTCTTGTCGAACACCCTCTTTTGCCGAACCGAACACTGTTCGGTTCGGCGAACAGTTTAGGAAAAAACAGGTGTTCGCTGTTCGCCTGTGGAGGCGTGTTCGGGCGAACCTCGAACACTGTTCGTGTTCGTCGCGGGCAAATTTCAGCAGCGGCCCAAACACGAACGTGTTCGGGCGAACATCGAACACTGTTCGGCGAACGATTTGAGCTAAAAAACAAAACCTGTTCGGTTCGCCTCGAACACGTTCGAGGCGAACCGAACAGGTGTTCGCCACCTTGCTCATCCCTAACCTCAACACATGTGTACCCCAACACATGTGTACCTCAACACATGTGTACCTGAACACATGCACACACATGAGATTGGAGCACTGGTGCATGCTGGCATGTTTGCGTGTGGAGAGTCTTGCAAGTTGGATGCATGCGGAAGGAAGCACACACGTACATGGCTGGATGATGGAGCCACGTACATCACAGCATGTTTGCATGTTTGCATGTGTGCATGTTTGCATGTCTGCATGTTTGCATGTTTGCATGTTTGCATGTGTGCATGTTTGCATGTTTGCATGTTTGCATGTGCGCATGTTTGCATGTTTGCATGTTTGCATGTGTGCATGTTTGCATGCTTGCATGTTTGCATGTGTGCATGTTTGCATGCTTGCATGTTTGCGTGTTTGCATGTTTGCATGTTTGCGTGTTTGCATGTTTGTGTGTTTGCATGTTTGCGTGTTTGCATGTTTGTGTGTTTGCATGTTTGCGTGTTTGCATGTTTGCATGTTTGCATGTTTACATGTTTGCGTGTTTGCATGTTTACGGACTGGAGGTACCTTGACAAGATCAGAGCATGTGTACCCATACATCTCCTTCACTCTCCTTCCCTCTCCTTCACTCTCCCTCCCTCTCCTTCACTCTCCTTCCCTCTCTTTCACTCTCCTTCCCTCTCCTTCACTCTCCTTCCCTCTCATTCTCTTTCCTTCCCTCTCCTTCTCTCTCCTTCCCTCTCCTTCTCTCTCCTTCCCTCTCCTTCTCTCTCCTTCCCTCTCCTTCTCTCTCCTTCCCTCTCCTTCTCTCTCCTTCCCTCTCCTTCTCTCTCCTTCTCTCTCCTTCTCACTCCTTTAACATGCATGGGTGCACTGCACCTTGACAAGGTCGGAGCATGTGTATCCGCACCTTGACAAGGTCGGAGCATGTGTATCCACACCTTGACAAGGTCGGAGCATGTGTATCCACACCTTGACAAGGTCGGAGCATGTGTATCCACACCTTGACAAGGTCGGAGCATGTGTATCCACACCTTGACAAGGTCGGAGCATGTGTATCCACACCTTGACAAGGTCGGAGCATGTGTATCCACACCTTGACAAGGTCGGAGCATGTGTATCCACACCTTGACAAGGTCGGAGCATGTGTATCCACACCTTGACAAGGTCGGAGCATGTGTATCCACACCTTGACAAGGTCGGAGCATGTGTATCCATAGGTCTCCTTCACTTTTCTCGCCACTTCAATCGCCTCCTCTGCTGGTACCGGCTCCCCTCGGTCCTGATATTGGCATGGGGTAGAGCATGGGGTAGAGCACGGGGTAGGGCATGGGGTAGGGTATGGGGTAGGGCATGGGGCATGGGGTAAGGCATTGGGTAGGGCATGGGATAGGGCACTGGGTAGGGCATGGCATAGGGCATAAAATAGCGGCACAGGATTGGGCACGGGGTAGGGCATGGCATAGGGCATGGGATTGGGCATGGATTGGGCAAGGGAAAGGGGATGGGATAGGGCATGGGATGGAACATGGGGTAAGGCATGAGATAGGACATGGTAGGGCATGGGGTAGCGCAGGAGCCTGTGGATAACTATTTACCATGCATAACACATGAACTAAGGGGTGACCATGGGGTAATCAAATAAGAAATGAAAGTGATACTCCAGAGTGCAGTGATACTCCAGAGTGCAGTGATACTCCAGAGTGCAGTGATACTCCAGAGTGCAGTGATACTCCAGAGTGCAGTGATACTCCAGAGTGCAGTGATACTCCAGAGTGCAGTGAGTGACCCTCCATGGATCGGTGCTTGCAAGAGCAATGAAAACAAGAGCCACCTCCCATCACAATCCATCAAGAGTAACAACAATACAACACCATATGATCTCATAGCACATAGAAATATACCATGTCCTGCGTGTTTGATTTGGAAGAAGACGAACGAACCACACAGACCTGTGGCGGCATCGAACGAGCTTGACCCGGCATAAGCTTGCATGAAGGCTCTAGAGTGAGCGCCCGCCAACACACAGCCGTGTACCACCAGAGAGATGTAGAAGCATGAGAATAGAGAGCAGGTTACCCGCATGAGCTGTTGCACCAAGGCAGTAGATTGGGCGCCCCCCGCTGGCATGGAGCGAGAGCTGCCCCCCACTGGCATGGAGCGAGAGCTGCCCCCCAACACATAGCCCTCTACTACTGGTTGAGTTGCTACACCACTGGTTGAGTTGCTGCACCACTGGTTGAGTTGCTGCACCACTGGTTGAGTTGCTGCACCACTGGTTGAGTTGCTACACCACTGGTTGAGTTGCTGCACCACTGGTTGAGTTGCTGCACCACTGGTTGAGTTGCTGCACCACTGGTTGAGTTGCTGCACCACTGGTTGAGTTGCTGCACCACTGGTTGAGTTGCTGCACCACTGGTTGAGTTGCTGCACCACTGGTTGAGTTGCTACACCACTGGTTGAGTTGCTGCACCACTGGTTGAGTTGCTGCACCACTGGTTGAGTTGCTGCACCACTGGTTGAGTTGCTGCACCACTGGTTGAGTTGCTGCACCATCAGCGTTATGTGCCCACATCAGCTCTTGCACCAAGGCCGTGGAGTGGGGTGAGCGGCCCCAACCCAACCGGCACAGGTGGGGAGCTGCCTGCCAACACGTAGCCCTCTACCAGCAGAGCAGAGCGAGTTGCAGATGAGATGAAAGGGTAGAGAGCAACGCTTTACCCGCATGAGCTGTTGCACGAAGGCCGTGGAGTGAGCGCCGCCCACGGGCATGGAGCGAGAGCTGCCCCCCAAAACATAGCCCTCCACCACGGGGACGACAGAGGCTGAAGCAAAGCCTGCATCCACCACCACGCCTGTCATTGGGACCTGGAGGGTGGGGAGAGATGGGGCCATGAGAGGGCATGCTTAGGAGTAGACCTGAGCTAACTGACCAACAGGTGAGCAAACTGACCAACAGGTGAGCAAACTGACCAACTATGTTGCGCCTGACACCCTGGAAGGGCAGCGTCCAGCGTCCGGACGTGTCAAATGGGTTTGACGCTGGACGTTCGGGGAAAAAAAATCGGGCAGCCCGAAAAAAAATAAATTCCTGCACCAAATTGACTCGCGATTTCATTGCAACCAGAATTGACGATGAAATTGCCAACTGGGGGCCGCGTTTTTTACCTAAAAAACGCAACCCTCACTTATTCCCCCCCACACATTTGTACCCATCCACATCTACTTCTCCCAACCTGGTTGGCCCCCAACTAAACTAGAGAACCAGATCTAGGTCGACATTACACAGATCTGTTTCTCTCGACATTGTCAAGCATTCCTTACACTAGAATTCGCCAGTCACGCTACTAAGCCTTCCTAGCTAAAATTGGGTTAAGACGATTAAAATATCATGTCAACTCCTAGTCCCGCCGGTCATTCTGTTAGTGCCTCCATGCCTTCTGGAGATTTTCAGGATTTTCTGGATATTATGGAGTATTTATAACTATAGGTGACAAATGTTAACTTCTTGCATTCTAACCCCTGCGTATCCTTACTAGGCAGGTTTTTTTACCCCTGCCCGGAAAATTTTTTTACCCTGCCCGGACTAGCGTCAAGCGGGCGTCCAGGGCAGAGGGCACCGGGCGTCAAGCGTCTGGACGCCCCGTCCAGACGCCAGCGTCAAAAACGCCTGACGCGTCAAGCGCAACATAGCTGACCAACAGGTGAGCAAACTGACCAACAGGTGAGCAAACTGACCAGCAGGTGAGCAAACTGACCAGCAGGTGAGCAAACTGACCAACAGGTGAGCAAACTGACCAACAGGTGAGCAAACTGACCAACAGGTGAGCAAACTGACCAACAGGTGAGCAAACTGACCAACAGGTGAGCAAACTGACCAACAGGTGAGCAAACTGACCAACAGGTGAGCAAACTGACCAACAGGTGAGCAAACTGACCAACAGGTGAGCAAACTGACCAACAGGTGAGCAAACTGACCAACAGGTGAGCAAACTGACCAACAGGTGAGCAAACTGACCAACAGGTGAGCAAACTGACCAACAGGTGATTTCTTTTGGCCAAAACTGTCCGGGGTGAACACGTCCGTGCTCGCCTGAATATGTTCCTGCTCGCCTGAATATGTTCGTGCTCGGTTCGTCGCAGCTAGCCAAGCGGCGACGAACACGAATGTGTTTGTCGAAAATGTCCCCCGCGACACATTTATAGGTCGACGCTGGACATTAGCTAAGCTGATTTGTTAGCTCGTTTCTAGCTAACATCCCCCCCACGGCCTAGTCTAGAAGCACCAGCAGCAGTAGTACCTTCAACGCTTCTTGCATAGGTTGCCGCAAACGTTTTCCTATACTCCACACTAGTTTAGGGGTGTCGCCATAAGGGCTTTGGGGGTCAAGAAAGAGAAACCAGCGCTGGCCATTTATTAGGGTTACGTAGAAACCCAAAACTGTAAAGTGTGACTATAACGAGGGCTTCTGGTTAGACGAGCATGTGAAGACCTCAAGACGTGAAAAGCAGGGGTGAAAGGGGAATGAGAGATGTATACATGACACGTCTCAATAGAGGATGAAAACCTGAGGACGAGAGGTGAGATATTCAGTTGATTGAAGGAGAACGGAGGCAGGGGGGATGGGGGGAATGGGGAGGAGACTGGTAAGCGTAATGATGGATATTGGGAGACTGGCATGGGGGGGGAGTTAAAGCGGCTTTGTTCACAAGAGGGATATAATAATATAGCCGAATTGCCAGGAATGGGGTGCGTAACCTAAGGAACTAGCATAACATATTGATGTCTAGATGCTTTCTGCCATCATTTCCAAAAATACTGCCTTGTATGTGCATGTGAACTTGTTGGAAACACACAACCTGCCAGGGTTGGTTTCACCTGAGCTGCCGTGTTTGCTGCAGTGAGGGCAAGGGATGGTTGACTAGCCATGTACAGACCTGCCACGTTGAACCTGCATCCACAGCGTGAGTGAGGCAAGGGGAAGGAAGGGGACAGAGGGGTGGGATCGAAGAAGTAAGGGCACAGGGTAGACTGGAAGGGGGCCCTTTGCACCCACGATTTTATCAAACATGATTTTGGCAATGAACTCTCGGTGATGAACTCTCGGGGATGAACTCTCGGTGATGAACTCTCGGGGATGAACTCTCGGTGATGAACTCTCGGTGATGAACTCTCGGGGATGAACTCTCGGTGATGAACTCTCGGTGATGAACTCTCGGTGATGAACTCTCGGTGATGAACTCTCGGTGATGAACTCTCGATGATGAACTCTCGGTGATGAACTCTCGGGGATGAACTCTCGGTGATGAACTCTCGGTGATGAACTCTCGATGATGAACTCTCAACGATGAACTCTCGGTGATGAACTCTCGGTGATGAACTCTCGGTGATGAGCTCTCCGTATCCGGTTGTGTGAGTAAAGACGATGGAGGGGGTGGAGACGATGGAGGGGGTGGAGACGATGGAGGGGGTGGAGACCTCGTGCCATAACAGCCCTGTCTGCTGCTAGCTGAGAGCCCTCTCGGTGCTCGGGCGGGGAGAGAGAGCTCTCAGCATGGCATAACAGCCCTCTCTGCTCCCAATGCACTGCACTCGTGTCCCACACACTCACGTTTCGAACATGATTCAGCGATGCATTCTCGGTGTTCGGGCGGGGTGAGAGGGCTCTCAGCCAGCAGCAGCACATGCTCCTCCAATCCAACTCCGCCCGAATGAACAGGCACCACAGACTTCTCTGCTCTCACCTGATTGCACCGCACTGCACCCACTCACGTTTCAAACATGATTTCGGCGATGTATTCTCGGTGTTCGGGTGGGGTGAGAGGGCTCTCAGCCAGCAGCAGCACATGCTCCTCTGGCTCCACCCGCATGTACTTGAAGAGGCTCTGCTGCCACAGATGCTCCATGGCGTCCCATGCTTCTATCTGGCGGTGGGAAAAAAGGAATGAGGCATACACGGGAAGGAAACATCACACAGGGATAGACAGAAACCATCACGCCTTCTGCTGCCACAGATGCCCCACGGCGGGCCGCCCTTGTCTGGTGGAAGAATGTGCACTCTCTCCTCCCTGCACCCACCTCTCCCCTTTCCACGCATCCACGCTGCTGATTGTGTGAATCACGGCCCAGTTCGGCCCTCGAGACCCACCCGCACCGCTCTCCACCCATCTGTCCACTCTGCACTGGAAGCGTCAGCGTTTACATACGGGGCCCAGATTAAACGTTGTCTTGATGATTCTCACCCCATTCACCTCCACCCACTGGTATGTCCCCTCTGCTACACGAGATGTGTCAGTTTGAATGGGCCAAACCAATCGAAAGCTTGGATGTTGTGTCAGTTTCCCCATTCCACTCCACCCACCTGCATCCCTCTCCGCCCACCTGCACCCCTCTCCACCCACATGCACCCCTTTCCACCCACCTGTCCTCTCTGCACAGGGTGCGTCAGCTTGTACGGCCCAGATCGTGCAGCAGCGTACGCCGCCTCGCCCACGTGGACGTCCAGGTCAGCCATGAGCGCTGCCACGTGGGCCTGCTGCTGCTGCTGAGCTGGCGACACGGCATTGGCTCCAGGCGCCGCCAGCGCAGCAGAGGCGGCGAATGAGTCATGACAAGCAACGACTGTGGGGATTACAAAGCTGGGCTCTAGATTGCCGCCAAAGCCCATCTTGGTGAACCTGGGAAGGTAAGAAGGGAGAGGAGGAGGAGCAAGAGTGGGATGCAGAGGAGTCGTGGCAGGCGGCTGCCATGGGGATGACGAAGCTGGGGTCTAGCTTTCAGGCAAAGCCCATCTTCGTGAACCTAGAGCGGGAAGGGGGTTGGGGTGAAGAACAGAGTGACAGGAACAAGATTCGCATGAGCTGTGGCGTGACCGCTGTGTGAGTATGACGATGCTGGGCCGTGGATTACCTTCAAACCCCATCGTGCAGGAGGTGTGAAGGAGACGCATGGAGAGGAGGAGCAGAGCAGGAGTGGGGTGAACGACATGGAGGAATGGAGGGGCGAGGCGACTGAAGAGGCCATTACGATACAGAGTTGCGGTTTATCAAGTGGCGAGGGAGGAAGGGAAGCGGGGAGCCTGAGCGCGAAAGGGATGGCGAAAGGGGTTACCCGGATCCATTATCTAGGACGATGGCGCTTCTCTGAGTGGGGTCCATCGCACACTGGGCGACGCCTCGTCGCAGGTCGCACAGGTGGTCGCCGGTGTTAGGGTTGGTTCGCCCAACCACGGAACCTACGGCGAAAGCTTCTGCGACGGCGGAATGACGGCAAAGGAAGCGTGTGGACTATTCTAGAGTGAAGTGGTGGAAATCGGCCTACGGCGTGAGAGAAATCTAGAAGAAATGTGCGAGGAAGAGAGGAGCAGCATCGAGAATGAGATCGACGGGGGAAATTGTGGTTCGAGACCAAGGCGTGTTCGAGAAAGTTCCAGATTCGGACTTGAGGAGTGTTCACTGAACTCGGATCGGTAGCGTGTGCGACTTGGGGTGTACGAGGCGCACGCGGCTACTAGGGAAACAAGTGAGGTTACGAATCGCGTTTTGTGTCTTGCATGACTATACAACTGCTTGTACTCATTCTGGAAAATACAACATTGATCAGTTGGAGATTCTGAAAATTGCTGAAGTGTATATTGACAACTTCAAGCAGAGCTGCGCATATCATTGGATTCGTGAAATCGTGTAGAACACGATAGGCGATAGCAAGTAGACTGTTGCGGACCAATGTGTTTACGATCCTAAGAACTGGTATCAGAGCTTGACGAACATGAGCGTCGATCGTCGTGAATTCACTTGGTGCGCTAAGTGAAATTAGTGGAGAAGAGGAGTCATTCACGCCTACGCTATGGGAGAGGAGGCGAGTTCGGGTTCCACTGTGAGTCTTGGAGACCTGCAGTTGAAGGCTCTTCTCGAGGCCCTTGCGAGTGGCCGATTGGTGGCGAAACCGACGGTTGGGCTCAGTGAAGCCCAGCGCTTCAACGGGAACAACTACAACGTGTGGCGAAAGAAGTTCATTCGGAGATCAGAGGAGGTGGACCTCTTGCCGTACTACCGTCCCGACGAGGAGACGATGGAGGCAGTAACGCCTTCCACGACGGATACGAAGGAGAAAATAGCGGTGTTAAAAAAGCAAAGTAAGCAAGCGTTCTTTCAGCTTTGTCACTCAGTTGCCGATGGAATCGCGGTGGATCTGGACCAGTTTGCAGGGGAGCTGAACTCTGCACAGCGAGCGTGGGAGTACCTGGAGTCCACGTACATCGGTACGAACGTCTTAGAAACTAGGCGGGAATGTATTTGACTATCGAGAGATGTTGGTACAAGAAGGAAACCAAAGGGGTTGTACCCCACAGTATCTACCCCACTACAGCCTACCCAAAACTATAACATATGTATATGTTTGACACACCCCCATAGGCAAAATGGGGGAGAGCAAAAGGTCACAAGACCAGTCAAGGAAAACAAAACAAGCTCAGAGTCGATCACAACGTCACCAGACACACCGAGCACAAGGAAACGGCCATAAGGCCAGTTGACATGCAGAGGTATTTATGCAACAAGAACAGTACAGTGATCTCTACCTAGTAAGAGCAAGCATGCAGGTATAAATATATACACACATACACACACGTATATATATATGTATATCGCAGTACAAGCAAAGACTACAGCAAGTGTGGAAACGTAGGCACAAGGCCCAACAAAGCACAAAAGTGCTGATGGTCACCAGACGGAAGTACCTTGGTGAATATATCAGCAGTGTTGGCCCGAGTGGCCACGTGAGCAAGGCGAAGCTGACCCCGCTGCTGCAACTCTCGAGCCAGGAAGTAATGCAGAGCGATGTGCCTTGTTTTGTGCTCCAGTCTGTGCTCCTTACACAAGGCAATGGCGGCCTTGTTGTCTACGTACAAAACGGGAGGAGAGCTAGGCCGCTCTCCCAGGTCAGTCAGCAGGTAGGTGAGCCAGCGTAACTCCTGTGCAGCCATGGCTGTGGCGTAGATCTCCGCCTCACAACTGGAGCTGAGAATATAAGACGAGCAGGTAGACCGCCAAGAAACAGAGCCGGAGCAAAGGCTGAACGAGTTGTTAGAGACTAAGGACGAGGTCTACGAAGATTAGGGGCCTAAATTTCTCAAAATCGTTGGTCCTAGTTTCTGGACAGAAACGTCGAGTTCACAAGAAACGCCGTCGACAAACAGTTCAGTGTTGAAACTTCACTAAACTCAGATATGTTGTAGCCCTTAACTGTAGCTACATTTCCCAATTTGAATCGTATGAAAAGGTGAAGCAAATCTCGACTTATCAATTTCGGTGCACAGGGGGGTATGCTGCCATTGAATCTTAACTCAATCACAAAGTTCTCACAATTACCACAATTGCTACACAAGAGAGTTAGAGTAGCAATAAACCAGGTGGGATGGGATGAGGAGGACGAGAGGGAAGGTCCCAAGATAGTCCTCAACCAATGAAACCCCATGCCACACAATTCCCCTCTCCATAGGCAACCCCACTTTCACTTTTGTCACTTTCCCAACCCATGCCATCCACCTTGCCCAACTTGGCCACACTTGCCAACCTGGTTTGGCTGCTCCCAACCACTTGGCAGCATCTACAGTGATGTTGACGAATTTCCCAACCCCCAAAAGTCTGTACCCCATATGGAGTCAACCCCACAACTTCCCATAGTCACCACAACCAAATATCAAGACCATACGAACTTCCAACGTTCGTAACATTCTTGTTCGTGCTCCGATTGAAGCGATACTTAGTTCGTCGGAAAGCTCTTGAGCAGTGGGGTCACTTCATATATCCGCTGAAGCCAAAAAACATTCACACACACTCAGAAAATCCAAACCACTGAAAACACAAATTATTGCACACTCTCACACCACGCATGCAACGCACGAACATATGATGGGAGGCAGACAGACGTGAATGCAAGTGATGGCATCACATAACAAACTCCCCCTCTAGCTGCCTACCATCATTCCACATGCCATAGCTCAAGCATGCACCCTCAATGCATACTCATCCCAGCAAGCTTCATGCCCTTCCAATGCTCAAAATCAGCTAGGCGCTAGGTGAGAATATCAGCCGCCTGCTGATGGGTCTTCACAATCTCCAGTCGCACCTCCTTGCTGATGTGCTTTGTCAGCCCATGAAGGCAGGCATTCTTGGCAAGCTTCACTGTCGACTCATTTTCACAGAACATGATAGTCGGCTCCCTCTGACCAACTCCAATCTCCTCCAACAAACGCCTTAGCTACACCACCTCCTTTGCCCCATGATGCAGGGCCATGTACTCTGTCTCACACGAGGACTGCCCCACCTCGTTTTGCTTCTTGCTGTGCCAGCTCACTGCACCACCTCAAAACAAGCACACATAGCCTCCAATGCTAGTGCCATCCGCTTTCACAGAGTTGAAGCTAGCGTCAGTGTAGCAGGTCAGGAGCATCTCCCCCTTGCTAAAATAAGCTGCACCCCTCTGCAGCCTCTGCCTCACAGCACTGTACTCCAAAACCACTTATGCTGTTGCACTCGCATAGCGGACGAACCTCTTGGCCGCTTCTAGCTGCTCATGACCGGGGCGTGAGACCACACTGGCAAGCCTGGATGTTGCAAAGGCATTGTCAGGCCGCGTGTGGTTAGCCGCATAGTTGAGCGCCCCAACCATGGAATGAAACACCTTCTTGTCACTCTCACCCACCACCTCCTCATCAGCACAGGACTCCACAGTGAACCCGGAAGGTAGTGGGGTTGCTCGCTTCCCTCCATCTTGCAGCCCATACTTCTCGGCCAGCCCCTCACAGTACTTCCTCTGGTGCAACCTCAACACTCTCTTGTCAAGGTCCCTCTCCACATGCATCCCAAGGTAATACTTCAGATCTCCCATCTTGGAACACTTGAACTGCATCCCCAGCATCTCCTCCATACGCTCAATCATTGCAGACGACTCAGAGAAAAGCAGGATGTCGTCCACATACACCAGGAGCATGAGGAACTGCTCCTTCTCTTGCAGCAGGAACAGGCTGTGATCACACTCACTCTTCTTGAAACCCCCAGCCAGCAGTGTCTCGTCTAACTTGTGGTACCATGCACGAGGAGCCTGCTTCAGGCCATAGATGGCCTTCATTAGCCTGCACACCCTGCCGCTCCCATCATCTACTCCCTTAAGCTGTAACATGTACAGCTCCTCCAGAATGATCCCATTGAGGAAGGCGGTGGTAATGTCCATCTGCTTCACCCGCCATCTACGGTTTGCTGCCATTGCCAATCACACCCACTGTGTTTTTCTTTTCTTGCAGGAGCAAAAATCTCGTCAAAGTCCTTCCCTTTGTCTAATGAAACCCCTTTGCCACAAGCCTTGACTTGTAGCGGGTCAGCTCCCTATCAGGTCCTACTTGTGCCTAAAGATTAGCTTGGACGGAATGACCTTCTTCCTAGGTGGTAGCTCACACAGCTCCCACGTCTCATTCTCCAGCAGAGAGTCATACTCTTCCTTCACACTCTTCTTCCACTTTTCAGCGTCGGGCCCGCTAGCGTCTTGGGCTCAGGGACGGCTGCCGAATAGCAGTGTGCTATCTCATCCTCATCACACTGCTCAGCCACATTCCCAGCCCTTAGCACCTTTGGCTTGCCAAAGCTCAGATAGGTCAGCCGGCTAGGAGTGCGCACATCCCTCCTAGGACGGTCAGCCGGACGTGCGGCACCTTGTGGAGCACCTTGCTGCTGCAACTGCGCCTGCAGCAGCTGCTGCTCCTCCACTTCAGGTTCTCCCCCATCCTCTGTCACCCCAGAAATCTCCTCCTCTGAGACAGTGACCTGCACTTGCCTCGAAGGCCGCTGCACCTCATCAGCCTCAATGATCAGAGGTGTAGTAGGAAACTTCTACTGCTGCTGCTTCCACTCCTTGTAGTACAAGGACTCGATGAACTTCACGTCCCTCGACACAGTCAGCTGCTAGCTGGTCAAGTCCCAAATCAGCCAGCCCTTGTGATCCTTAGCAAGTCCCAAGTGCACACCCCATCTCCAAGAAGCTTCTAGCTTTCCCCTCTTCTCCTTAGGCACATGAAACACCACCATGCAGCCATAGGCTCTTAGCATGTTGACTGCTGGTGCACTCCCATACCACTTGGTGTAGGGGACCCACTGCTTGTCCC